GTAACCTGGTCATAAAAAGAGACTAGATTAGTCAGGCACGATCTAGTCTGCTAGGAACCCGTGCTGGTTTCCCCACAGCGTAATTTTTCCTGCCAGGCTCTCGCATATGTGAGCCTTGATAATTTTTTCAAAGACTTTGCCAAGGATGGAGGTGAGCCTGACTGGCCTATAGTTGCCTGGGTCCTCCTTCCTTCCCTTCTTGAAAATGGGGACCACATTGGCCCTTTCCCAGTCCTCCGGGACCTGGTCCGTACGCCATGAGTGTTCAAATATTCCCACCAGTGGCTGTGCAATGACGTCAGCCAGTGCCTTCAGTACCTTCAGATGGAGCTCATCCGGGCCTGCCAACTTAAACCTTGTCTGTCACCAATTGCTTATGCCCATTTAGTAGAGGTCCTATTCCTCCCTGGGCCTTCCTTTTACTCCCTATATATCTAAAAAACAATTTTTTGTTATCCTTAACTTGGGATGCCATCCTCAGCTCCATGGTAGCTTTGGCCTGTCTAACTGCCTCCCTACAAGCGCGAGCAGAGGAGGTATACTCCTCTTTAGTAATCTCTCCCCGTTTCCACTTTTTATATGCCCCCCTTTTTGCCCGTGGCTGCTCTGGATTTCTCTGGTCAGCCAAGCAAGCCTCTTGGCCCCTTTCCCTCTTTTTCCCCCTTTTCCCCCTTTCCCCCTCTGTGCCCAAAGGATCATTTCCTTAAGGCACAGCCACCATTCCTGGGCTCCCATCTCTTCAAAACTCTTACTCTGCAGTGCATCCTTGACTAAACACCTGAGTTCCTTGAAATCAGCTTTCCTAAAGTCTAGCACTTTCACCCTACTAGTTATCTTACCCGCTCGACATCTTATGATTAATTCTATTATTTGGTGATGTAGGAGGGGGGAGGAAAGGGGCTTGCGGGGGCAGATCAAGGCCCCCACAGTGAGGGAGGAGTGGGGTTGGGGCTGGGGCAGGGGCTGAGGCAAGCACTGCCCAACCAGGGCAGGGTGGGCATGGGACGGAGCTGCAGCTTGTCCAGAGGATGCAGGGAGTGGGGAGTGGCTCCCACCACTGTGCACCACTCGTCCCGGAGCCACTGATCTGGTAGCTTATCCAGCACTCCCCTTCCCTACCACCCACCTGGGTGGAGTAGTAAAGCAGCCAGAGGCCAGTATGCATGCAAGAAAGCCAGTCAGTTAAAATGTAAATTGAGGTGGTCAGAAAGTGAGAGCTAAGTGGGGATTGGGGGTAGGGGGATGAATGTAGCTGTAGTCAATGGACTGGAGGTGAGGGGGGAGGAAGGAATGAAAACATGACCTGCCTGACATCTGAAATATAGTAACCCTATACCATGACAGTGCTTGAGCATGCCCTCCTGGAGAAAGACTCAGAACACCTTCACTGGTACATTTCCAAGTTTAGGGCACACAACAGGGAGCAAGGAGACTGGAAAAGGATGCTTACTGGCCTTCCTGCCTGGCCATGCTGCCACCCCAATACCCTAAGTGTTCTTAGATGCACCTAATTCCACACAGAATGAACTTCAATGCAAATAAATGTACGGTGTTACACTTAGGGAAGAATTACCAGATGCAAAGATTCAAAACAGAAGCTAACTAGCTGGGTATTAGCATTGTAGAGCAGGATCTGGGAGTTTTATTGAATCATAGACTCAATAGCAATAGCAATGTGATGCAGTGACAAGAAAACCAAATGCATTTTTGGACTACATTAACAGAAGTGCTAGGTGCAGTATATGGGAGGTGACAGTGCTCCTCTTCTCGTTGTTGATTAGGCCTCATTTAGACTAGTAGTGTGCATAGATCTGGGCTCCCCATTTTCAGAAGAATGTAGAGAAACTGTATAGGGCCCAGAGACAGGTTGAAGAGAAAGCTTTCCAAAGAGATGTTGAGAAAAGTAGATATATTTAGTTTGGTAAAAAGGAGATTAGAAGGGGAGTACATGGTAACAGTTTTCAAATATTTGAAAATAAAGAAAGAAGGAGAACAACTGTTAGACCTTGCCACAAAGGGCAGGACATAAAACAATGTCCTTAAATTGCAGCAAAGCAGATTTAGACTAAATACGAGAAAAAGCTTCCTAACTCTTAGAACAAGGCAGTGGACCAAGACTGCCCAGGGAAGTTGTGCGATCTCCTTCACTGGAAGTTTTCAGGAGGTGACTGGTAGGGCAGTGTGAAATTTCGTCGGGTGTTTCCTTTCAAAGCTGTTTCAATGCGTTTTGAGCTTGAAACAGTGAAATAGAAACAAAACAAAAGCCTTTGAAACAGTTTTGAAACAAAACAAGGGCACTCAAAATGTTTCAAAAGTTTCAACACATTTCAAGTTTCGAAGCCGGGTTTACTTGGTTTCAGCACCAGTCCCAGCTGGCAGCAGCAGCCTCCTGTCATCCGGAACAGTTCCAGGGTCTGCGCCCCGTGGGAGGGTTCTGGCACAGCCCCCAGCCCTCCCAGTGGTGCGGGCCCCTGGATCTGCGCCCTTTGGATTTGCATGCTGGATGCCAGCACTGGTCTCAGCTGGCAGAAGCAGCTTCCCATCATCTGGCATGCATATCAGGGGCCTGCCCACACTCCCAGCAGGGCTGCGGGGCTGTGCCAGACTCCTCCTAGGGTGCAGGCCTCCGATCTGGCTGCCGGATGACAGGAGGCTATAGCTGCTGCCTAGAACTGGTGCTGGGCTCAGCCCACACCCAGTGCCGGGAAGATTGGTGCTGCCGCTGGGTCCAGGTGGCAGAACCAGCCTCCTGTCATCCGGCAGGCAGATCAGGGGTCCTTATCCCCAGGAGCAGTCTGGCACAGCCCCGCAGCCCTCCCAGTGGTGCAGGCCCCCGGATCTGCCAGCCAGATGACAGGAGGCTGCTGCTGCCGGCAAGTGACAGAAGCTTTGCTTGTCAAAACCTTGAGGTGCAGTTTCCTAGAAACCTCTGCACCTATCTCCTTGAAACTTGGCAGGCTTCATGCCCTAAGAAGGGGCTACTATCCCTACAAGTTTCATCTGAATCAGGCAAGAAATGACAAAGTGTTAGGCATTTTCATGATTCCCCATTATACCCTATGGGCAAAACGTCAAAACAGCGTCAAAACAGTAAAACAGTTTCGATGAAACAAAGCGGAACAGTGCTTCAAAAGTAAATGAAACTCAAAACGAAACACTTGTCCATCGAAATGTCAAAACGGAAGTCGAAGCAGAACGGTGCTGTTCCACACAGCCCCTAGTGACTAGGTAAATGTGGGTCAGGGATATTTTAGGAGTAGCAGTCCTGCATTCAAAAAGGGGGTTGGACCATATGACACTCAAAGTCCATTCAACCCTATCAATCTGGCTCAAGTCCTTGAAATTTTTCCCCCCCAACCCAGCCTGTCTATCACCCACTGACGCCTCAATTTACATCTTCGCTGACTGCCTATCTTGTATACATACCAGCCTAACCTCTGGCTTCTTTACTTTTCATTCTATCCAGGAAGAGCACGCACCAACTGCAGACATTTCCTCAGCCTGACGAAGGGTTTTTAAACCTGAAATCTTGCTTCAAAAATTTTTTTTTAGAGCCTGGCAGCGCTCAGCCCTAGTGGCCCCAGTTCCCAGGCAGCATGCAGCACTCTGCCGACC